ACATCTCAGGATCTGATAAAACAATCGTTTATTTGAATGCATGATTGAACAATCACATGCATGCACATGCATTACCCAGTACTAAACAGTCTTGTTTCAACTTACAACAATAAGACAATCAGAACAAGACTTGTGTTTGAATAATTTATCAAGAGAATTGAAATGTACTCTAAAAAGTCAATTACAATGCTTGTAACTGGCTCGGAACATTTACAAGTACAGGTTTTATGAAGGTTTACAATTTAAGTTTAAAATTCAAACAAACACATTTCTAGCTATTAAATGTATTAATATTAATGAAGGTGAACTCTGTGTATTCCTGTAGTGTGCGATGTTAAAGTCAACCGGGACAATGATTAGTTTAACCAACTATGTATACAGCGGTCATGTTTATCAAGATACACAAAAATTGCAATTCAATTCTTTATAGTTTTGTCTAATATTGCTATCATAAGTGGGCACCCTTCCACAATCTATGTTGCTGATCTAGTGATCACGAGATGCATCCAACAATTACACCTCATAGCTGGAAAAGCCAGCTTGCCAGTAATAAGGCAGCATTTCCATGGCTGTTATACTAGCTATTCCCCCCTCTGAGAAGTCTCGTCTGTGGGTCCTCCCGGTGTGCCACTGCACCTTCCCTTACCACCAGGAGCTGGCTGTACAAGTTAAGGTAGCCCAGTATCCCACCGCTGCCACCAAATGCAGCAGGCAGGCAGGCACTAGCGAGAGCATGCAAGGGTTATACATAAGAAAATCTAGCTTACCAGTAATAATTAAGGCAGTATTTTCCCCTCACATTCCATGGCTGTTAGACTTTGTGTACCCAAACAAATAACTTGACTTATGGACCCCATAACTTTTGAAAAGACAATCATCATGATCACTACTTTACCTAGTTACATTGAGAATGATGCATTTTTATGAAAAACATACTTATTCTTGTCAGTCAAAACCTCTCATAAGTTTAAAATTGTGAAGATTTTCTAACTGTCACTTAATTTTAGGAAAATATACGATAGTCATTTTTTTGCTTGGGGAAGCAGCTTGTAAAACAAGGCGAAAATTTCATACATGTTTCTTTATACAACATATTATTTCCAACGAACAACCGCTGTCCCCAATCTCATTCACTGTTCAGAGTTCAGATTTACTGACTTGAAATACAATATATGTTATATTTCTTGACAGAATGGGAAAAGAAGTCGATGAAGACGAAGAATTGCATTCAGTCCCTGTTCTACGAGGCACAGTAAAATTGATCTTTGAATAAAAGCTTCATATATACCTTATAACATTTTCTACTCAACATGTTTTCTAGAATTTTTCAATTTACAAAAGAAAATTGTGCTTATAATTGTATTGAAATTTTGATTTCAAATCTCATAAAAAAATGCTTTGATAATAAAAAGAAAGAGACTTTCTCATAAAAAAAAATACAATCTGAACTGACAGTCCTAAACTCTTGAGTCCTGACAGACCTTACCGAAAACAGTTTCATCTATCTCAATCAAAACTCCTTAGCTTGGTTCCTTAATAACAACCTCAGATAAAAAAAAAACTAATCTACACTTTCAGAAAATTAATTTCCTGTGAAAAGGCAAAGTATTCATGCTACCAAAGAATATACAATATTAATATCATAAAAGTGGACCCCAGGGTCAGCTTTAGAAATGTAACGGACTATGACATCGTTTTTAATTGTAATTCAATTCTTTCTTAACAAAATACTTATAAATAACATAGGCTGTATTTTTCCTTATTTCCTTTTCCTTTTTAATCAATCCAGACATTCTCACTCTGAATATTGAAAATGAAAACCTCGCTATTTAAATCCCTAAATACCAATCACAGAGCCGTGATCAATACCTGATGGACACACTTATTGATAAACGGGTCTATAATATAAACATAGACCTTTAACTCCCACCTACTATATTATTACACCAGTAGTGTACACAGGGAGCCAATTTGTCCCCAGGAGTAAACATAATCTTACAGCAATGTTTGACGGCTGTAAGGATAGAAACAGGACAATGCTCAGTCTCAGGGTAAATATTTGTCTCCTGATAGACTAAATAAACTCAACAATGTATCGCTATACAAATCAGTAGGTACAGTACTCGCCCCTTTCAAAGGAACACCTTTTCTATTGCCATTTAAAATTGTGAATCTGTTTAACATCACAAACATTGTAAGATCGATAAAAAACAGTTTATTTTAATGAATCTACACAAGATCGACAAGTTGAATTTATGTTACGATGTTGATATATATTGAATGTTTGCTTTTTTGACAATAGACTAACCATTTCTACACAATGCCGACATTATAATGATCAATGTGCATTGAATTCTTCACACCTACAGTGTTGGCAATATTTACACACAACAATATTTTTTCTGTACTGGATTTATACTGAATCATATCACATTGTTCTGAAGATTTTTCAGAGACTGCCCTTGCCGAATTGCTAATATTGATACATTGATATTTGTATTATATACACATTGTTTATTATAATAACACATCTTTTCTTAGATTTCAAAAACATTCAGAATTTGGTTAAGCCAAGACAGTCTGAATATACCAGGGAATGTTTTGCCTCATGCACTGAATTCAAATTTTAACAGCATTTTCTTTTGAACACCAACAAGCATTGTTAGCAAGTTATTTTTAAGGATGTAGGGGGGTAAGGGTGTTTTGTGGTAGTGAATTCTATTCCTTGGAAGCTCTAGCTAGGGGCAAAGATGAAGACGATTTTAAGAGTTTATTTTAAGGGTGATTTTTGATGGACATTTGGAGTAGTTTTAGGGGTGTATACGTATTAGGGTGTGAGCTAATACACTGGGTTTAGGGCACGATTTACAGGGAGGTGATGGACGGAATCTCTTCTTCTCCACAGTCACTTCATTGTTTAAATGGCATGGCCATGTATGGTTACCAAAGCCTCACAAAGCTGTAGAAATTAAAAGTTCTTCATCCTCTCCTGTTACATAATCATGGCGGGAATCCAATGAATGTGTCCAGTGTTATCTTAACACCTGATGTGATTATCTCCCTTATTAACAGTGCAGTTATATCACTGTGGGTTTTGACTGACTCTTCAATTCAGGGGTCAAGTATCTGCCCTACCTGTAAGCAACTGAACACGGTACATAATCAAGCTTATTTGTGACCCAATACTCCTACACAATAGGTCTACAACAGAGGACCACACATGGACTCACAAGAAATCACAGTAGTCAAAGTGGCTGATACCTTTAACAAGTTTACTTTTCTGTCTTTGCTATTATATGGCTAAATAAAGATATATACAGTATTCTGTTTCCTAAACCTAGCTTACTTACACTTAACCATTACTACAAAATATCTACAAACATAGACCTATTCCTATAAAATATCTGCAAACATACAAACATAGGCCTATTCCTATAAAATATCTACAAACGTACGGCTCCAATCCTACAAACATAGGCCCATTCCTATAAAATATCTACAACATACAAACATTAGGCCCATGGTATAATGTTATAGTACAGTTGTAAACAACAATGATCAGTTTTGAAACATGTTGGCAACAGTTAGCAAATGATAAAATATTTTCTCTTTATTAAGATTGAGCAACTATAACTTGATTCACTTAAGGTAAGTTAAAGTCACTCATTAAAATCTCTTACTTAAATTAACCTCTACCCTCTAGTATTTCAAAAATTATATCATAACAAATATTGAAAACTCACTTCAGATAATGTATTGAATAGAACAGAACACAAGTCATATTCACAAAAGATATCAATTCTAAACTTCTAAACAAAGCTGGTTTAGCCGTGTACGGCAATGCTACCAGAGAGAACAAAATCAATTTCCTGGTTTTGTTTACAGGAGGCTGAAGTGGGAGTACAGATACATTATCACATCATGATTATCTGAAATATTGTAAATATTAACTGTTTGTTCATCCGCCTTTATGTCAGTTTTATACCCTGCTAGACCCCCAGGTGACCCCTAAAGCCTAGATCACCTAGTGAAAAAGACATGAAAATCCTACGATATCCTATACTTTCTTCTATGATAAATAGGTTTCTTGTGCCCACAGAAGCATTAATTTGGAGATAAAAATAATGGCTTCTTTTAGTTACACATCATTTCCGTGTCAAGCTGGATTCATATTTTGTGTAAATTTTAACACTTAATAAACATTATAAAGGAATTAACTTGAAACTTTGGTACACAAAATATGATACTTTTATTCTAAACCTAAGCTGAGATATAAGACTGCTTTACCATATTTTGACAGGTTATACTTTTTTTTATCAAATACTAAGATCAGAAATGAATAGTAATTATATATAAATCCCTTAATAGATCAAGGTAAGGTAGAAAGGGTTTTTGAAAGATGTCATGTATATTTACATGCATAAGTAGGTAAAGCTAATGTAAATAAATTACAATGGATCAAAATTAGACAAAGTTTGTCATCTTCTATTTTCATGCCATATTTGATACACTAGCATGATCTCGTTTAACGTCTGTAATTCAATGGTGGTGGTGATGCATCATCATCTCATCATCATCATCATCATTCTGTGCTTATATATCTGCTCTAGACACATTTTTGTTTTAATTGTCACAATTAGGGTTACTACAGTCACATTCTGGTATCATTTAGGATTCTGTAAAGAATTTCCTTTTAGTGCCTAGTGAAATAGGTAGATTCAGCTGCTGGATATTAATGCATGTGATAAGTGACCTAGAGATGGGGGCCCTGTGATCCGTTAAGTATTAAAACTGTTTGGGACAAAAGTAAACACAAATAATGTCACCCATTACGAATGTAATGGAACAGCTAAGGACATTGCTCCAATGCTACATTCGTTTAGCAAAACGAAACCGACATCCATCGTATGGCTTTGATACACCATGCACATATATCAAATATACTGCATTATTGATTTGCAACAAGGAAAAAGCAAGTTACATTCACATGTACAACTCACCTGTCAATTACTGCATGCCCACTGCGTGTATCTTGTAACGGTCATGCATCCGTATCGCACGTAGCCTTATGACATTTTGTATGATCACCTGTTATAAGTAATGTTAGCTCTATAGCTCTACCGGTACAATTACTATGCACTGGGTATATTCTTGATACTCGGAAAGGACCAGGTAAGACTGCCACGCATGAGTAATTTTGACAGTTGATTATTTGATAAAAGGTGAGCGGTTCAAGTACTTCTGTGGAAGTCACCCGGTTTGCGTGATAAAATAAGTCTACCCCAGTCGCACGAGTACGACGAGTGCCTAAAATAGCTCATCACATGGCGACTTTCACTTTACACACGCTAAGTATTCAGCGATGTGGAACTTCCTGGCTATAAACTGATTGTTGTTCACATAGGAAGATGAATTATCTTAATGGAGTGATAACGCATCATTGTATTGATAGAAAATGACTTTTTTTCAGTAATGGTTATTTGACAGAGGATTAAAGGGAGATAATCTTTAATCGCTTTCCATCGTCTTGAGAAAATGAATAGTTAGCCGTGGTCGATTAATTTGTCAATCGATTTAGTATAAACTCATGAAGGACAATTTGGGACTAATTTAAAGTTAATAAAACGCACCGAATCGATGAAAAATGTTTCTTTCAGGTCTTGGAAACTGTCGTACTTTTGAGTATTAGGTAACGAATATTTCCCGGGAAAGTGATCGTGCCGGGTGATTATAAAATCAAAAAAGACTGGAACCGGACACTAGTGATCAAACTGAAATATTCTTTCAAAACCGAATCAATAGGCTGATCAAGAGTCAAAAAAATGCGTGGTCCGCTTGACCTTTGGAATACTGATTTTTTTTTATGGAGCTATGATCAACATTTAAACTGAAAATTTATATTTTAAAAGCTCCAGAACCAAAAAGGTCTACTGTAGATACTCTGATCGCAGTAGAAATTGTCCGCAATAGGCCGTTGATTTAAGTCATAATTTATTGTTGTCTTCATTAATAATGGATGTTGTGTTCATCACAAATTATTGTTATCTCCGTCATCAATGGATGTTGTCTTTGTCATAAATTATTGTCGTCCACGTTATCGGTTGATGTTGTAATCGGTTTGGTGGTGTCATTGCGAAGGCTTGGACACAAAATCCAACAAACTAATCAAACATATACCCTTCATAGTGTTATCTTTGTGGCACTTTCATTTTCGCAATTTTGTTGTGAAAACACAATGTAAATTTTCAATTCAATTGTAAACATTTCCAGTGTCTTACACCAACAGAGATAGAGATCACGAAACAGTTAATTAATCTCACATCTATGCCAACTTTTCCCAACCTCGACAGGAAAACTACGCTATGAAAAGAACACCAATTTTTCAATGGTACAAAATTGAAGCATATCTAAAAAAAAATAAGATAATCTGTACAGTACAGAAGAGATGTAATAAGGGTATATGCTACTGAAAAGTTACTAACGTTAGACTACTGTGATTTGATTGACCTTAGACGTTTTCCATTATTGAAAGATGTCATCTTGAACATATGTCTTCCTGGCCCCTGGGTGTATTTCAGCTGTCTTAGATTGGGGGCCGGGGATCTTGATTGTGGTTCGCAAACGATATTAAGTTCTGGCGGCATTGCATGTTATTTTTGGAGAAAGATAAATGTCTTGGTAAGGTCTTGATTGTACGTACAATCAACATTTGAATCCACTTGAATTCCTTATTTCAAGGAAATTACTGAAACCATCAGTGAAGCTATATTCCGTAGTCAAGTCTTCATTAGTAAAACTGGTAAAGCAATGCAATTGTAGTTCATAATAACAAGGGAAACACACAGAGATGCGTGAACAGAGCCATATATATATGTAAAAGATGTGGATTGCCTTACAAGCATCAGCTGTAGAGAATGCCCCTTTAGCTCAGCGGTAGAGCATCGGGCTGGAGAGCCGAGGGTCGCGGGTTCGAGGCCCAGCGACGGCACTATCTTTATCACTATTCCTCGTCCTACTACAAATTGATGCCGTTGACCCTCCCCGTTCAACGTAGGAGAACCCTTGGCGGGAAGCCAAGGAACCTCGGTTGGTGTTTGAAAAAAGTGGGGAATAGTGTAAAATATGTGGATTAATTAGGTTGCCTTACAAGCGTAATCTGTAGGGAATTTCCCTTTAGCTCAGCGGTAGAGCATTGGGCTGGAGAGCCAAGGGTCGCGGGTTCGAGGCCCAGCGACGGCGCTATCTTTATCACTATTTCTCGTCCTACTACACATAGTTCTTTTTATACTTTTATTCTTTTTTACGATTGCCTACTACATTATAATTCTTTCTTTGCCAGAACACTATAACACTTCTAGCAGTATCGTTCCTAATTTTAAAAAAAAGTAATACTTGTACAAAACAGTTGTCTCAGCACAGACTTACCAGAAAACGGTGTTCAAATAAAATCGGGTGTATAACAGAGTCGTTTAGTACTAGTTGGCTTACAAGGACTCCGGTCATCGGTTCAAGGGAAACAACTCGTACGGCGTCATATATTTGTTGAATGCAGCTGCTGTTACTCAAAATAGGGTTTGATAACTGTAAAATGCCATTTTGTTATGCTAATGTTTTTCTTACAGAGGTTAGAAGCGAATTAAAGGTGATATATGTTGCATACATATATCCGAGGTTACCTCCCAAATGGAGACAAGAAATAAAGAAAACGAGCAAACAACATTCCATATTGATTTTATTCTCCATAGATATATCAAATTGAAGGTACAGTTGCACATGCTTTTCAGAACATCTCCAGGCAGATACACAGTGTTTGCTCTGGGTAAGGATTGAAGCCTCTCTGATACTGGCCACGTAACATGACGGCTGTGGGATGAGAAATATGGCAGCCACGTCCACCATTACGTTTACAATGGGGAACATCCCCTCTCATTAGGCTCTACTTCCCTCAAGGTATAGTGCATCCTGGGCGTTAGGTATAGTATAATAGTAGTATCTGCGGCCAAGAATAAGGCGTCCATGTCCCAGATGGCGTTAACGTTCTCCACAGCTGGCCTGACCAGTGTCTTGTAACACAGTCCCCTCGGCTGTCTAGGACCGCCTGTCTGGGGTTCCCTTTTTGGACAAAATTCCTGAAGTCCTTTGCAACGTTAACATTATCGGGTAACTGGTATTTTTTCTGACTTCCTCACAATAGATACGATAATATAAAGACGGTGCCTGGACGACATGATTTTTGGGAGAAAAGAAAAGGTAGGTGTTCAAACTGGTACAACGAAGAAAGTCTCCGATTCTGCAGCCACTCCACCCTCCCTTCCATTGCTTTATGATAAAAAATGCAGTAGGATGCGTCAAGTCCCCGAAATTGAAAAAGAAACAAACAAACAAACAAACTCGGCGGTATATGTCGCTGTGAGTTTTGCATGGAATGGATTATGATATGGTCTTGGTTTTATATTACAGTGTCTGTGCTGTAATGTTAACGTTATATGGTTGGGTAAAAAGAGCCTTTGGAAACACTGACCCATAACAGGCAGATTATTTTAACCGATATCATCTCCAGCGCACGCTCATTGGTCTGCTGGATAACAGAACAACTCGTTGGTGAGGTAGGCGTAAAACCACTCTAACGTACAGATATCAGATGAGTCTGAATCAGGTTCCTCACACATTTACCATTTTTTTGTTAATGTAGGGTATTTAATGATTTACCGTTGAACACCATATATATTTTACGATTTTTCAAGTTTCTTTATTTCAAACTCTTTCTTAGAGGTGATAGTATGACAATTTCCATATTCTGCTTCGTATTAAACCTTCATATCAGCCCGAGGGACCGTATGCCTGAGGACTGATAAGGATCGAGGGTTGATACAGGGTGGTTATATACCACACATTATAGATAATTTAGTATACAATCAAAATTTATGAAATTGTCACAAATCAAGTTCAACTGAGGTAGGATTTGATTCTGAAAAGTGTCAAACCGAAATTAAAACGGCTATGGCGCGTGCTGGCGGATATGGGCACATCCGGGATATGTCCCATGTACAACAAGTTGTATCGCACATCCGAAACAACCCATGTAACGGACAAGTATATAATGAATACACGTGACACTGTAAGGCGAATGTAATTAAGTCTTTATTTTATCATGACATGGTAATGAGATAATGAGAGAATTTAAACTTAATTCAGAATGAATGCTCCTTTTTTTGCATACACGCTTTACGTGTAAACACAAATTCACCAAACTAAAACGCATTTTCAAAAACAAAACAACTTATTTTAATGACATTTGATATTTCGGCTTTAATCTAAGACCGCTACATTGTCCTGTGACCCGGCCAATAAAGGTCAAGCTTGCTAGACCGTTTATCAAACACATCGATTGGAAACGTATTGTCCTAATCAGGCTATTACTTTTTGTTATCATAACGTCGGAGGGCGGACCAGCCTATTGTATATTTTTATCACAGTTTTCTGAATAATTTCGCGAAATAATGAGCTCATAATCAGAATTGGCGATGATAAAATATGATAACCTTTTATAGATGCAATACAACCACGAGATTGTTGAATTAGTCCTGAGCCAGCGACAAAATTATCGAGTATTAAAGTGCAAAATTAATGAGAGCAAATTAGTGTTCTTTCAAATCGTTAAGTGATAGTTTAATTCTAAAGGATATTGCCGCCAAAACTCACAAAACCTGCCGCACTGCCATACGGGGTATAGCCACGTTAGCCGAATTAATGTCCCGGGGAAGAAGGGATTGGCAGACAGACAGAGAGAGAGAGAGGGGGTGGGGGGTGTTCTCATAGTGCCAAAGCATTTTACAACAAAGACAGCTGTTGTGTTATGAAGCGTAGTAGAAGTATGAGTAAAGGTGAGATTTATGGGAAGGGTGTAAAGAGGTATGGCTACCTTCTTTCTCTAGACTTCCGGTTCCGATCTGACTCTACTGTGTGTGTCTTTCTCTCTCTGTATATCCATCCCTCACTCCCTCTGTCTGTCTGTCTGTCTCTTTCTGTTTCTCTTTGTGAGCCCTTACTGCAGGATATATATGTATTGGCAGCCCTTACTGCAGGATATATATGTATTGTGAGCCCGTGGATTTCGAAAAAGCACGTTAGTCGCCTCTTACGATACACATGCAATGGAATGTTATATTTATTTCCTTGATTTATGTAATGTTCCCTCTGAATAAGACAGAAAAAAACACCAATTCTACTGGTGCTCGGGGAGAGAGCGTTCAACTGCCCTTTCACCCAT